CACAGTCCGCACACTGGGGACAACCCGTCCACACTTGTCAGCCTTCGTGTCAGCGTCGTGTATGCCTTTTTTTTTTTTTTTTTTTTTTAAAGCTATATTCTTCTCTCAATTTCACCTCACCTCGCACTACCTACCTACCACTACTCCTAATTAATTGTAGGCATACGGGGAACCCCGTAGCAGCCAGCACCGTGTTCACGAGAGAATATGTGGGGGCTGCTCCCAACCTGCAGGTGGGCGACACCGGCTAGGGGGCAGCTGGTAGCATCAGGGAACCGGCGTCGTGAATGCCATCGGGCCCGACGTAGCCAGCAACCCCGCCCTTAACACGAGAGAGAGAGAGAGAGAGAGAGAGAGAGAGAGAGAGAGAGAGAGAGACGGCATAGCGAATGCCATAGGCCCGGATGCAGGCAGCAACCCCCCCCTTAACACAAGAAACAGGAAACGAACTGGGTATGCGAAAACCATTGACTTGCGCTGTTGCAGGTCTGTAAACATTCAGTTGATAAATTTGGTAGAGTGCATAATCCTGTCCGAGTGGCACCGACCAGTTGAGGTATATGTTGTCTGGACTTGGAGAGAGAGAGAGAGAGAGAGAGAGAGAGAGAGAGAGAGAGAGAGAGAGAGAGAGAGAGAGAGAGAGAGAGAGAGAGAGATTTGTGCTATTTTCATGCTCTGTTTGTGCTGTGTTTGTGATATGTTCACGTGGAATGTTTATACTATGTTTGTGTTTTACCCAGTGAGTGTGGGTGCGTGGGTGGGTAAGTGGGCCGGCGGGTGGCTGGGTGAGTGGGCGAGTGGATTGTGTTATAAAAGTGCTGACATTGTTCCGTGCTATGTCAGTACTATGTCTATGTTTGCGCTCTGTTCGAGTGTTGTAGAAGGAACAAAGAGAGAGGCAGGCCATGAGGCAATCTCGGACGATCAAGGATCTCTTTGCTCTAGGCCCTAGGACACCCTAAGCTCATCTAAAAACAGTGCTTTAGTAACATCCTTGAACTTATGCAACTGGCAAGTGATGCTCGATTGTGGGGCAGGGGGCCACCCTTCAAATAGGCAGGTGGTGTGGCAAATGTCAACGGACTGCTAGGCTCTGGGGTTGAGCAAATTGCGGTTATGTTCAAGTGTGGGGGAAGGGGGGCTCCAGCCCCCCTCCTCCACGCCCGCTCCTCCTCCATGTTGAAGCGGGGGTCGGTGAGGTCGAACAGTTAGATGTAGAGTAAGACGGGACTGTGAGCGTGCCTTGTGGCGTTTGGCTATGATAAGCCAGAAGGCATCTGGGAGTTACGGCAGAAGGTAGAACTTAGATCAATGACATAACAGGGGTGCCTGACATGGCAGGTCCGGAGTCTGCTTGGAGGCACGTCGATGTAGCAGCTGAAGGGCTGTGCACTGGCAAGAGGCATGCTTACAAGCTGAGAACCGGGACACCAGCAAACTTGGGTTTGCACTGGGTCTGGGACTTTTTTTGGTGGAACTACACCTGGAACATGGTATGGGTGGGGCTGCTTCTATAATATGGGTTAGAACCAGAGCCGGGACCATACCAGAAATCTGTCTTGCAACCGGGTCCGGTAGTGGGACACTTTTTGCCAGGACTGCATCTAAAACTTGGCATGAAACAGGTTGTATGATGTGGGTTCGAACTGAAGGTCAGACCATAAATATTTCCATTAATTAAATAAAAGAAAACTATAATAAAAGAAAACAAACACCCCCTCTCCTCCCGTCCTTTCCTTTCCTTTCCTTCCTTTACCTCCTATATTCGTTCACCCTTCCTCCCAAAGAGGAAGCACAGGGCGTCGACTGGGACAACACACCGACGACCTGCATGTGCTGCAATAGGTCGCTCGCTCCTAAAGCTGAGCCGCTACTGGTCTTAGACTTCCCACTGACCGCACCCTTCCCTTTTTCATTTCCGCACCCCGGAATTCCCCCGTTCGACCTCCTTTGGACTCGACGACATTGCCGGAAATGGAAACTGCCACCAAACGACGAAAAGACAACCGGACTATGCGCAGCCTTTTGGCTGCGAACTGGCCTAGCTCAGTTGGTACACCCCTGAATTTTTGAACAGACCCCACATACCGTCAGATGAAAAGAATAAGACCATTCGGAATTGCATGGGGCCGGTCACTTCCAATGATGATATCTAAAGGCTCTATGAGCAGAGGAGGGGGGTTGAGTTGACTTCGGTTTAAATTTTCCACTTTTTATTTTATTTTATTTTAAGGGTCATGTTCAATGAACTTCTCACAGCACCCACAGCGGCAAACCGCCCAGATCACCACAGTCCAGACACTTCACCGGACCATTCAATCGGTAGGAGYGACGGGCGGTGTGTACAAAGGGCAGGGACCTAATCAGCGCGAGCTGATCACTCGCACTTACTAGGCATTCCTCGTTCAAGATCGATAATTACAACAATCTATCCCCGTCACGATGAACCTTAAGAAGGTTACCCGGGCCTTTCGAGCCAGGCAAGCGACTCGTTGGATTCATCAGTGTAGCGCGCGTGCGGCCCAGAACATCTAAGGGCATCAMAGACCTGTTATTGCCTCAAATTTCCATTGGCTAGTCGTCCAACAGTCCCTCTAAGAAGCTGGCCACGAGGAAAGGTCCAACGTAGCTATTTAGCAGGCTGAGGTCTCATTCGTTAACGGAGACAAATCGCTCCACCAACTAAGAACGGCCATGCACCACCACCCATAGAATTAAAAAAAGAGCTAAAAAACCTGTCAATCCTTGCTGTGTCTGGACCTGGTGAGTTTCCCTTTTTTCCTTTTCTCCTCTTTTCCTTTTTTCCTCTTTTCCTTTTTCTCATGTTATGCTCTCTCTTTGGTGTCTACCTTCCACCGTCTGCATTCTGTTTTTTAGTTTTTATTTTTTATTTTTTCTTTGCTTGTGCTGCTCCTCTTTGGTGTCTGCCTTCCACCTTCTGCATTCTTGCCTGTTTTCTTACAGTTTTCTACCCCTCTCCTTGTCTCTCTCTCCTGTGAACTCTCTTTCTTCTCATGCTGTCCCCTTTTTTTTTTGTTTTTGTAAGGGGCGACCCTCCCGGTATGATCCGGGCACTCCGGCCAGGTTCGTACCAGGTGTGTACCGAGGTCCCTTTTTCATTATACAGGCCGGCATCAAAAGCAGGGTTTCCAGCCAACCAAACCAATTGTGACCAAAACCAACAAAACCCCGACCAATACTACTCAAACCAACAGCGGAACTGAAAAGGCAACCATCCGGTACTAAACCCACCCTGCAGAACTGCCCTGCCACTCACGCGGCAGGGGCCTGTATCCACAACCCCTCAACTGCAGACCCCACGCGATTCAGGGCTGATTGCACCTCCACCCACTAGCACCAACTCCCACCATGATCATGTTTTTGCAAACCAGCGGATGTACCCTACCACTCGCGCGGCAGGGACCAAAGACCCCGCAAGACCCTCCCTCCTCCTCGCGATTTA